CCTTTTAAATGACTCAAATTGTTGGGGGCGGAATAATTCCCACTATACTATGCTTTACTCATCTCCTTTTTTATTATAAATATTTTTTTAGATGATAATCACATAGTTATCGATATGGACTTTGATCAGAGGATTATATCAGGGTGTGCGATGAAAACTAAAGAGGTAAATTTATTAGCTTAGTATTTCAAGTCTAAGCCTTTGTATTTTGTTTACTTCTGTCTCAATATGATGAGATATAGGTTAGAATATGATATAATATATTATACTTAAGTTTATAATTTCTTTATACTGGTCCATTAATTTTAAAACTCTTATGCCTCTACACCTGTAATTAACATTGCCTTCAACTTAGTAAAATAAATCAAGCACACCTAACTCTGGTCGCTTTCCCTCTCATTCACTCTCACTGAAGTACCTGACAATTCTTGCACAATTCGCGGTAGGAACGCATAAGTAAGGTTGTCAAACTGGGATAATGAGTATAGCGGCTTAAAGAAGTGAATCATTCTAAAAGATAACCTAAACCTTAGTGACCTTCAAGTGGCATTATCAATAAAAACTTTTTGGGTTTGGTCATGGAATTCAAAAAACATTTATTTATGAAACACGTGAGATATCACATCATGAAATTTAACAAAAAATAAATAAATATGACATGCTTTACAAATCCAACAAAATGTCGGCAACTAACCTTAAAGAACTTGAATACAAGGTTTTCAAAATGGTGAAACCATGTAAGTTCATAGGCAATCATGGGCTTAGGGTATAAGGGTAATTAATCACCTATAAGAAATTTAGACACGTAAATTAATGAAAACAAAGCACCATAAACAAGAAATCAAAGTATAGCTGTTATTTAAATATTTCCAGAATGAGGTTTAAATAGGATGCAGTGCTGGACTTACAGGATGGTGCGGGCAGGATCACCTGCAAGAGCAATTTCCTACGATTAGGTTGGTACATGCCAAAAGAGTAGGAAAGACTACATGCTTGGTAAGGTTAACGCACCTCACAAGCTAGTAAAAAGCAGTCAACTTGCATCAAAGCTCAGATATAAAACAATATGACATCCATCAGTTTGCTCATGGAAGATTATTTGATTACTGGCAAAGTGGCCTCAATCTTTCAGTACATCTATAAAGAGTTTGCAAATAATTCAATACCAACTACTTATGAAAAGAATAACCGATAGAGAATAGTTATTTTAAAATTCAAAGATTTGCCAATCCTTTAAGAACATTATATGCTAAATGAAACTTCCAAATTTAAGGAGTAAAAAAACAGTTAGTCTTGAAAAGCTTAAAAGATCCACAGAACCTATGTTTTTGTATTCAAACTATATATTTATGATAACCACAGGGTAAAGTACCTCACAAGCTAGAAAAGCAATCTCCAATGCTTTCAGTATTACAACGTAAACTATCAGCTTTGTTATTGGGTATCTTTAGCACAGAGCTGATAGGTTGCGTAGTAATTGAGATAGACATCTACAATTGGAGTAATAATTATTCATAGATGCTGGTCATTAAGAAGGTGGAAGAGGCGGGTGAGGCTTGGGTGCCTAGGAATTAATTGTCTTGTGACTGACTGTGATCGGATTAATGAAGCTAGGCAGGATTCATAAATCAGGACAGAATAGTAGAGATGAGGCAAACTTCAACATTTATAGTCTTCGGAAAGTTGGGATATTTGCATTGAGGAAAATAAATATGAGTATTGATTTTCCTTTAGTTGAATTTTTTTTTTTAACTTTAGTAATGTTTTCTGTTTGGTGGAATTTCAGTTTTAATTTTCCTTCCGGTCATACCTATGATGTTTCTTATGAGAATATGTTTAGCTCTCTAACTTTCTGAACTCCTCATGGTCTGACTCGATTCCCTGCTTTGATTGTGAATAATTAAATTTAATTCTTTGGATTTACCTGATTGAGACCTCATCTGATTTGTGGAGCTATTGCATTCTCACCTTATCCCTGCCTTCAGTACGGTGGGTCTTCAGCAATCTTTTATACAGTGAGATACTGAGATGTCTATGATCATTCCTTAACTACAGACCTTTGATACACCTTGGTATCAAAAACAGCCAACGAACCCCAATAAATTCAGCAAACAACATATTTTTATTGATAACAAGAAAATAAGAACAAGCAAGATACAATGATCCTCTTTCGAGAGAAGGATCTTCTCTCCCAAACCCTAGACGCTCTTAGGATCTCTCACAAAATAGTAGAAAACAAGACTACAAACAAAATTCTGCATACAAAATATAACATAAACCTTACTACTTATAGCAAACAATAAACAACAAATACCAAAATAGCTCTCAAATCAGCCCCCAGATCTGTCCTCTTTAATTAAAAAATATCTCCTAATTAAACCTCTTCAAATCAGCCCCAAAATATGTTATTCAATTGAACTAATTGTAATGTAGGATCTAAATATCGTACTATATGATCAGAAGACTTCAAATTAAAATTTAGGATTTTACTTCTGCCCTCTTTATAAACTCTTGTTATGTTCTGTAGCAAAAGTTTTTTGGTTGTCAAGTTATATTTTTTCCTGTATGAGAGCTTGTAGAGAGTCCACATTCATAAAGGAGAGACAAGGTGAGGTTGAGAGAGAGAGAGAAGAGCTTTGAGGGAGTCAAGGGAGTGTGAGAGGATTCACATGGTTGCTCAAGCTAGCCTGTATCTTGAGTTCTGTTGTGTTTTGGTGGAGCTCTTGGAGAAGAGCTCTATGAACAAAAGTCTTTGGGGCTAGAGACTTCCTATCAAAGAAAGCTAGGGTTTCGACATCTCCGTCAGGTCAAGAAGTGAAAGGTGGGATCGGCATCTCCGTCGGAGCGATAAGTTGAAAGGAGCGACACCATCTTTGTCGGGTCGAGGAGGCGAGAGGAGGGATTGGCATCTCCGCCGGTCTGAGGAAGCAAAAGGAGGGACGACAACTTTGTCGAACTGAGGAAGTGAGAGGAGGGTGTCACGACCCGTCCCGGATGCTCGATCTAACGAGGCGGGTACGAAAAGTCGGACGGTAGTACATTTCCAAAAGTATAAATTTACTCATCATCAAAACTTTTACAAAACTGAAGAGCCACTAATAAAAAAAATTTCTATTTTACCTGTTGTCATTTGCACCTCGCCTTCTGTAAACATGTTCTTCTCTTTCAGTCATTACTCCTCTTAGGAATTTCCTTAAACATTTAAACTCGTGGTTTGAGTTTACTAAGTAAACTCAGTGGGTAACTATATAATTTATATAAAAATATAAATTAACATATATTCTTTTCTTTCTTAATCTTGTTTATTTCAATTCTTTAACTTAATACTTCTTTGAATATTTTCATTTAAAATAATTTGAAGCATTTGTTATCTTTGATATTTCATTTACATTTCCTTTTCCCATTTAATTTGCACAGGAGCACCGTCTCAAAGTACCTAAAGGTACAACCTTTTCCATTTAATTTCCTTTTCCCCATTTCCATAGAAATTTCCTTTTCCTTTTTCGTGCACGAGTACGGCGTCCCCAGCCAGTACCATAAGGGGGTGACTCCTGTCGTTTTCAATACCCTTTTCCTTTATTCTTTTCTTTTCTCATTTTCATCGTTATTGATACAATTGCATACAACACATCTTACTTGTATCTCTATAAATATTACTTATCATTTGCATATACGAGTGACATGTTTAGTGCAATACTCAAAGAGGAGAATTTTTGGGGAGTGGATAGGTCGATTCGACCAAACCACTATAAATCTGGTTTGCGTATTCTTACTTTTTTGCACTTTACTTTTCTTGTAAATTTATTTTGCTATAGTCTAATTTTATTTTGATTATCTTTGTGAAAGAGATTTTTTGTGATTGATTTTGGTTGAACTTTGGTTTGAAAATCAAAAAAGAAAAACAAAAAAAAATTGTTATCTAAAATTTTTATAAAACAAAAAATCTCTTTGCTTTTGGTTTTATTTTGAATTTTTTATCTTTTAAACTCTTCCTCAAATCAAGTTTTATTTTAAGCAAAAGATTTTCAAAATTCAAAAAAGATTTATAAAGAACCAATTTAGTCCCCTCTTGGTGTGTCATAAGCACTTTCAATTGCTAGAGTTTATTGTGAAACTATAGCATTACCACTTCCGTAATACTTAAGCTAGTTGTCCTTAGTTACAAAATAGAATGTTCTTTTTCTAAAATTTTAAAACTATTGTCTCATTTCACAAATACCAAACCATTGTCAGTTTTATAATAAGTTTCCACCATTTTATTAGGATTTTCAATGAAATCCTCATTCTATCTACAGCAACTGTGGCGTAAATAAAAATGATAGAGTTCAATAATTATTCACATCAATTTTAACTTCAAACAACAACATCAAATTCAAAATCAAAATTGTGCAGGAATACTAGTGCTTACGAAGTAAAAAAGAAATACAAGAATCCCACTACATACAACTTCACAATGACCGGAAGAATGCCCTTTCCAAGCATAGAAATGGTTTAAGAAATTCATGATAGTTAAATTATGTTTAATTAGAAACATGATCATCATCAACAACTATTTTGAAACTGTGATAGCTTATTAACACAATTAGATTTACAGTAGATCATCCTACTTTTTCAATTCTCAATATCATATTTAAATACTTCAAGCTATTTTAAATATCAAACATTCAAATATGTGGATGAGCAGTGATAGATGTGTGAGGACACTGGATTTTAAACTTCTAAGAAGATAGTGATGGAAATCTTTATTGTTTATTCTGGTCGGAAGCTTTACATCAAGCATTGGTTTTGCAGTAATTTGTTTGTAATTTTCATTTGCTGGTTTATTTTGATATGATATTTATGTGTTTAAGAACATAGTAGTGCTAATGGTCAAAAACAACTTGTGTACAAATTTTGTAGTGCTATTCTAGTCTGGGCGGCCTCTTGTTTGGTTTGATCTAAATTTGAGATTGAGATTGGATTCCAATCATCCCTTTCTATTGGTGTTAGACATTTTTTTTCTTTTGCTATTTTATTTCTTCTCAATTTTTCTACCTAATTTGTTATTGACTAGTATAGTGTTTTTGATTTTTATAAAAAAAAAGTGGCATCTCGAAAATTTGATTTATTGAAAATTAATTCATTGACTTTCCAATTTTATTTATTTTCAAATTATTGCTGAAATTCTCAGATTTACAATCATTTCACTGTTAACTGGGCTTAAAGACTACTTTTCTTTTCATTTGAAGAAAGTGGATTGTTAGATTGATTTGAGAATCTTCAAGTTTTCTTTTCATGAAAGCATATTACACATCATATTAATTGCATTAGGAAAACCTACACTTCAGTCTCCTTGCATGTGTTAGGCAAAAATTGGTCAATTAAAAAGAAGAATAATCAAATTAAAATGATATCAAATGTAATGGGCAACATATAGGGGAGATTAATAGATTCTTCATACCTCCTAATGATAAATATTATATCATTATGGAAAGCAATCCGCCAAACTATTTATGTACATCAAGAATCATACCCTTTTCGTCTCTGTTGTGTTAACAGCATTCATACCCTTTTAGTCTTTATTGTGTTAGTAGGCTTAGTAGCAAAACCTGAAAATTTAAATTTCTTGAGAGTTTGCTATTTAGTTAAACTTTGGTTTCAGACAAGTTATAGTGGAAGTGATGTTATTGGGTAGCTCTTACATAATCCTAAAATCATGCATGCTAAATGAAGTAGCATATGAGCTTCAGTGCTCTGAAAATATGATTCCATTTCTTCTCACAATTCTCCAATTAGTCCTCAGTGAATCACAATAATTAAATAAACATCTTCCATCTAAGAAAACTTTTGTTACGGTTTAGAAACTCACAAAGTTATGCATTAACTAGCAAAGTTAAAGAATAGGTATCGAAATCGTAAACTTTCAACAGTTAAGAAAAAATACATTTGCAATTATAGAAGGATTTTGGAATCTATGCATTTGGCAACCTCTATCACGGAATATCACAGGCCAAACATTATGCTCATCTTGGAGCAAACATGAAATATTAGCCCACAAACTCGAGTCAAATAATTGAGGAAGATAAAAAATGTCTAAATCTGCAAGCTTTTTTCGTGTTCCATTTGCAATTTCAAAGAAGAGAGAAAGAGAAGGAGAGTGGAAGGGGGGAGAGACACAAAGAGAAGAAGAAGAAAAAAGAAACATAGATCTAGTCCTTATTATCCTACAAGTTATGAAAAATGTTGAGGTTGTTTAGCTAGCAGATTTAGAAAAATCGTTGGAACATTTCAAAGTTGAACTATGAGAAATATCGCTCTTTTTCAGATTAACTCTATATCCTAGAGTTAGCAAAGCCAGGGAGTAGCAAAAAAACAGTTGAAACTGACCATTAAACAGGAAGATATGATAAATTTAATGGCAATAGCAAAAAGCATTTGCCAATAGTCTGTTCCTATTCATGTGCAACAAAGGGACCCCAATCTTCCACGTTACATATGTTTCTTTAAGCCTACAGATCACTACTTATTCAGTACTGATGAAACCTACAATCTTCATTATTTGGGATCTGCATCTTATTGCTATAAATAAACTAAAATGTCAACAGAAATTATATGTATGAGTGATTATTTCTTAATACGCCTGACTTTTTTTGGTCCCCAAACCTCCATTCTTCCTATTGGGCATCCACAGGGCGACCGAAAGATGAGAACGGTGCGGCCATTTAGGGGTGCCATCTTCTTCAATTCAGCTTCCAGCTCCTTGTGATCCTGCCCCAGCTCCAACTGTCTAGAACCAAAAGCATCCATAGGAATTGCCGGCATAAACCTCACACACTCTTCAGATTCAAGCTGGATATCAAACTCCACCGCCTTCCGAAGTCCCTTACATTTAGGATTCCCACATTTCCTAAATTGGTGACTGAAGACCCCCCAAAGCGCAACGCCCGTAATCAGCATCAAAGCAAACCCGATAACATAGGTTACAAACCTAGGGCAGACAACCTCGCCCATAAGATCAACCGCCACCGGGAACAGCTCGTAAGCTTCTTTGTAGATGAACTTGAAATAGGGCAAAGTTAAAACGCCGAACGACCCGAGAACAAGAAGTAGCATGAGAAAGTCCATGGCAGCGAAAGGGGAGTGCTCGCAGAAAGGCTGAGAGAATAAGTTCACCGTGTTGCTCCGCCCATGAGATTTGTTGGATCGGTTCTCCGGCGAAGCCTGCAGGTTCACTGCCTGCCGGTGCTGCTCGAAAGCCCGACAGAACTCGATCAGGCTCCGGCAATCCACCATTGCGTGACCGAGCCAACACAACAATGCCAGAATTGTCTATTGCGAACGTCGGACAATATTTTGGATTCCGTCTGATCTAAGAAACCCAAACAGATGGTTGAAAATCGAGGAACTAAATTGGATGGAATCTGGATGCGTGGGCTCTGAGAAAAAAGTTGTCACCTGGAGATTCCACTCCCTTGGAATCGCGAATTCACGATGTAACCCAATCCGACGAGGGAAATCAGTTAGTACTCGAGCCGGCGTAAAATCTCCAATAAGAAATAGCGATCCGGATACTTCCCGGCAAGAGATCGGACCTATCGATCAACCGATTGATCGAATATCTTAGCAGGTTGCGAAGGGATCTGAGCTAGTTGCAAGAAGAAGAAGAATTGGATCCCGAGAGAGACGGCAAACAAATAATGAATCTATAAAGCATGCCCAAAGAGAGTGAAGACGTACAATGGGCCGTTCAGTTTCGCGTTGAAATCGGTGTAAAAATAAATAATGGAATTTTAATTGACTGATGCATTTTTATAGTTTCTGTTTGATCATCAGCCAATTTAATCATAAATTTATAAATGAATTTTATGCGTTAGATGATTTGAGCCAGAACATTCAATCAGTAGAGTACGGCTTATTTTGGGGTGATTTTTTAAAATTTTTGAAAATAAAATTTTTATACAATAATTTGAATTTTTACTTGGAACCTATAGGAAATATGTATTGCAAGATAAGAAATGTTGTGTTGAGGAATTTTTTGTCATTTAACAAATTGAAAAGTGGTATACATATTTTTCTTCTATTTCATTGCTTGGTGGTCAAGGATGTACTCTTCTTTTGTGAGAGTTTTTTTTTTTTTTTTTACAAATTTAATTTTTGTATATTTTTTATTATACAATATTTCTGCTATCTAATCTCTTAATTCTTAAAATAATCCAACAATTCTCATAAAAAAATTAAAAGAAATGATATTTTATCCAAAATCGGCCAAACAATGTTATATATGACATTTTTTTCTCTCGTTTCTCAACCCCACTCCTGAAAAATTTCATTAATTCTAGAAGTAATTTACAATCCTCTTTAAATTATTTTCAACAATCCTCCATAAATAAATTTTAAGGAAATATAGATATTCTTAAAATTGGCCAAATTAGATCATACAAGACCTATTCTTGATTTTGCTTTTATTTCTCATGTAATCCTCTTAGAAAATCTTCATAAACTCCAAAACTAACCTAAAAACAACAACAAAAAATCATTTTCAAGTGTTTCCAATGTCTAGAAATTACAATTTTATTGAGTTATAATTTCATAAACCTACTATAATGCTCTCAGATAAAGAGGGATTTACCTTATTTGTTCGATCCTCACCTCATTATCACCACTTCCTCACCCCACTAATGTTATCCCTAGGTTTCTAATACGAAAAGGATAACCTCTGCAACAAACATGCGCCATTGGAACAATTAAATCTAATTTTTCATTGGAAATATTATTATTAACAAGATAATGCATATATAATAACACTCAATGCATCCGTAAAAGTAAAGTTTCAACAAAGAGTAAATAATGTAATTCATGATCCTAAGAAGCAATTCACATTAATGTTATAGTATTTCAAAGACTAAAAGGATAGCATCTATAGCGAACATGAACCATTGGAATAATTAAATACATTGCTCCATTAGTGAGCATAATTTTAAAAACCTTATTACTAACTAAGATATGGCATATATCATAGCACTCAAGTAAAGATTTGATCAAGGAAAAATTCATGACCTTAAGAGGGGATTCACATTAATGTCTATGGGGGTGATTTAACCTTAAAATTTTCCTTTATGATGAAAATTTTTCATGTCTATGAGTACTTTAAATTTTTATTTTAGATGGCTTAAAAGGGTTGTCGGTATTGTAAGAATTCATATTTGATAAAACACAATTTTAGCTTAAAGCATGCATTCCAAGGCATCTAATTTATCTCCTTTATGAATGGAGTTTCCTTGTCACCTTTAGTGACATCTACCACCATCTTGCGCTGATTTAACATAAATGATAATTTATGAAAAAAACTTATTGCGAACAAAAGGTCATCAGTTCTCTTTGTATCCAACCACAATCAAGCCTATTTATTTCATTCATCTCCACCTCCAAGTTAGGACTTTAGCCAACACTTTTTAGAGGCTTCCATAGCTTTCTTGTGCTACCTCTTTGTTATATTTGACTTAGCTTGTGTGAGACCTCGTTCCCTTACTGTTCCTCTATGATTTGGATTTTCCTCTCAGGATCGTCCAGGACGATTTGAGATCGTCCAGGCCGATCGGCACTGTAGAAAATATCGGCCTGAACATAGTTCTGGGAACCGTCCAGGACGATATTTTTGGTCTGATCGTCCCGGGACGATTTGGCGATCGGCCGGGCCGATCAGCTTAATGATTTAAAGAAATCAAGTCGTTTTGATGAGAGAGAAAATCATTTTAAAATAAAAATATCTGATTTGAGGAGAGAGAAAGAGAAGGGAAAAGAGGAGAAACCTGGTTTTGGAGGCCGCGGAGCGCTTTTCGTCCGACGCTGCTGTTGGGAAAAGTGAAGATCTCGTGGTAAGGACTCCGAATCCTATTTTTGTTTTCAAAGATATTGAGTTTTGACCGAGTTGTGATCTGTTTTGTGTTTTCGTAGTCGACTTTTCGACATGATTTTGATTTGACACAACTTTCACCGCACAACTTTTAGTATGTTATAGATATGACTATTGTACACGATTTGACTATATTCTACGACGATTTTACCGGTCGGAATTGATTCTACGCGATTTTAATCGAATAGAAAAATATCAAGACTTGATTTGATTTGATTTCTATAGGACAATAGTCTTGTATTGATGTTATAGATATTCTATTGTAATTTGGAAGAATTTGGAAATTGTGCCTTTTTGCAGGATTTTTGTGTAAATTTGACCGACTGCCGTTACGCTGCCCGATTTTCGTAGATTTTCGGATTTGCTTGGAATTGATAGATTAGATTGATGTGCTTATGATTATT